CACCTGCACAAGGAATGCCCGGAAAAGGGCAATACAGTACAGATACCGACATGCTGCATCTGCAAGTTGGTGTGAGGGCGGTCACCTGCACAAGGAATGCCCGGAAAAGGGCAATACAGTACAGATACCGACATGCTGCATCTGCAAGTTGGTGTGAGGGCGGTCACCTGCACAAGGAATGCCCGGAAAAGGGCAATACAATACAGATACAGACATGCTGCATCTGCAAGTTGGTGTGAGGGCGGTCACCTGCACAAGGAATGCCCGGAAAAGGACAATACAGTACAGATACCGACATGCTGCATCTGCAAGTTGGTGGACGGAGAGGAACCTCAACCTTCCAACTATCGAGGCTGCAGGGACTCGAAGGAAGAGATGCGAAAGAGAAAGTCGCAGAGAGAGCCCAAGACTACAAGGGGAAGGGTCTACTCTTCCAGCTACACCACCCCAACAGTGTCCTTCGCCGCGGCGCTACGCAGCAACAGCCTCAGTTGTGCAGACCTGCTCCGCCATCGCCCTTGAGGAAAAACCAACGGAAAGTACCAAGTCAGTCAGTTCAGGCTCCTAATGCAAAACAGTTCGTCTCTGAACAACATGTCCACAGCAGATCATGACACAGCTCATTGGAGCCGAACCTGAAGAAGACAGAATACTGGCCGTCACAAACATTTTATTAAAACTCATGAAGGAAAGTGACCGCCAGATTTCATAGGCGGTAAATATGACTGCGCTGGCGAGAACCGGAACCAATTGTAAACGATAGACCTGTTCTCTCGTCAGAGAGGGCGCCCCACATCAATAAACCCGCAACTGTCTGAGAGTAACAAGAATCTGGTCAGACTGACCGACTGACCGACTGACTATCAGTCGTAACATTTCTTTAACTCTGACTTTGGCTTATTGCCGTTAGAGAACTGCTTCGGTTTAGTAGTCGTGAGGTGTTGTTGTTAGAAGCTTGTAACTGAGGCCGTGGACAGCTGGAGAACCTAGATGAGGGGAACGTCTGCTGTTGGAAGCCGTTACCAAGCAACGGGAGTGAAGACGTGCCTGTGTACATTAATGCGTGTGCGTAAAAGTGGAGTGTAAAGTGTAGTCACGGGCTGTATCAACGAGTGCAATAAATCCGGTCATCCATCTAAAACTCCTCTATAGTCACACACCGTCACGTGACAATACGCAGTCTTTCCAGAAAGTAATAGCGTCCTCTTCTTTTCTTCGATTGCACCTTGCTCCCCCCTCCACCACCCTCCTACTTTACGATTCAATTTCCTCGTAATGCCCGTTTTACTCTGTCTTTCCCTTTATTTCCGATTGTGTCCTGCTCGCCGTTGCGAATGTTCCAACTTGTATTATGCAAGTCAAAAACATTCGTCTATACAGTTGGCTCATGGTCGCTTTCTTCTGCATTTTCTGTCTGTAATATACTGACTTGCCTGACGAATTGATTTTGTGGATTAGTTCATTTCTCAAGTTATAAGTACAATTGCAATAGAAGTGGCATTGCTAAAGTTGACGTAAGTAGTTGGGGTTTTGTGTACAAATCATTGGCGCCCGTGGTATATTTTTCTGGCGCCCTCCGTAACCACATATAATTGAGCTGATTTTTAATATTAATTCAAATTGTAAGACAAGAGACATTTTTGAACGTCTGAGTACTGTTAAATAATTTCGAAAAATTTTATTATTATTATTGTTTATTATTATTATTATTATTATTATTATTATTAGAAGTAGTAGTAGTAGTAGTAGTGGTAGTACTAGTAGTAGTGTGTGGTGGTGCCCGCACCTCCATAGGCATCAGTGAATTTTGCCCAAGTACATAAGAATGCTGGACAGCACTGACCTATACTATAAATAAACGTAATATAAAATTCTTCCAAAGAGCTCGGAAAATGACGGTTGCACAGAAAATTTTGGCCCTTAGGCGGCGTTTTATACTTGTATGCGTGTGGCTCAGTTCGAAACTCGGCTACGATGCCGGATAGCCTATTGTTTTACGTGATTTTCCTCAGTCCCTACAGGCAAATACAGGTAAAGTACCTCGAATAGACCACTTCCGCTTCCTTCCAAATCCTTTCCAATTCATCAATCATCTTATCAAACCGCCGTTAAATAACACAAAAAAGGGTTAATGTTTTCTGGTATATGACATTTATGAGTCATCCCAGGCGACAGTAATATTCATGTGGCACTTCGAACTCTGAAGGCGGTTATTATGAAGATTATTGCCTTCTGTGAGTTGTGACAGCGTGTAGTTTTGTTGATGTTTACCAAAGTTTCGGAGAAGACGCTGCTTCCATCATTAGGATAGATCAAGCGGTCTTCACTCTCACCATTGTGAGACACTCAAATCTCACAATTCAACAAATGCTGATGACAGTTGATATACGGAGGAGGGTATAATATTAAAGTTATTGGAAGGCAATCATTCTAAGATAATATAATATTTTATGAATCTAAAAAGAATACAATGTACAATATACTGGCGTATGAAATGAAATATGGATCTCACCGGGGTCCACCAATTTTACTTCAAATATTTTTGTTCTATTAAATATTTGGCGAAATAACCAACTAATTGCAAGCAGCCAGATCATTGTTAAGAAAACAAATGTCGGCGGCCAAGTTTACAATGTTCACAAAGGAACCGAATTATTATTAATACTAGTACCACCAGTAGCAGTAGTAGTGGCAGTAGTAGTAGTAGTAGTAGTAGTAGTAGTAATAAAAAGTATTTTTAATAAAGGTAATATTTTTTAAGATATATATATTTTTTCGTTTATCAGATCGAGAAGAATTGGTTAGCTGATGTATGTATCAGTTGCAGGAGAGACGAAAAATGCATACAATTTTTTTTTGGGGGGGGAAATCAGAATGAAAGGAGGTCAGTTAGAAGATCTAGACGTAGATGGAAGGATAATGTTGAAACTGACTTCAAAGAAATGGAGTGTGACGGATTTAACAGAAGGACGTCTTTTAGAACAGGGTAATGAATTCTCGGGGTTCATAAAAGGCGAAGATTTTCTTGACTAGGGAATGACCAGTAGCAGTTAGACCCCAAACATCATCATCATCATCATCATCATCATCACTGGCACGACAGCCCTTTGTGAGCCCTGGTTTCCTCAGGATTGCTCGCTATTCTTCTCCATTCGATGCCACATTCCTCCAGTTCTTTACACCCAAAATTCTTATGTCCTGCCACACACATTCTTCCCATCTCAATCTTGGTCTTCCCACTCTCCTATTTCCTTCTGGTTTAGTATTAAGTATTTTCTTAATCGTTCTATTCTCACTGACACCTATTATGTGTCCAGCCCATTCAAGCCTTTCACCTTTATAAACCCAATAATAGACCCAAACAAGTAAAAGATTTTTCTCTCCTCTTGCTCCCAATTTGGAACATAGGGCTGATTTCTCAGTTTCATGATCATTTTACAGATGTTAGGACTCCTTGGACTGGTAATCAGCTCCTAGCAAGGCCTCTACCTAAACACAGAATAAACGCATACACATACCAAACATTCATGCCATGTGTGGGATTCGAACCCACGATCACGGGTTCCGAGCGAGCGAAGACAGTTCATGCCTTAGACCGCTCGGCTACCGTGATCGGCAGTGCATAAGAATAATATATAAGAATTCAGTTCGTACCTCACAGGAAACATATCCGAACCCACGATCCCGGCTTCCGGCGAGCGAAGACAGTACATGCCTCAGACCGCTCGCCTACCGTGACCGGCAAACATGGAGAAGAGCGGAAATGAAATATAGTCATGGGTCTCGACGAGGCCCGAAACCAAGAATGAGTGTGCTGGCGAGGACCAACAGCCATTTACTGGACTGAAGTCGACTGGACTAGGTGATCGACTATTAGATTCTCATGAAAATATTCTGCTCCATGATTTAATTATATTTAATTTTTTTATTGATAGTGGGGTGGGACTAAGTCCCTTGTACTGCGGCCACTTCTGGCCTACTGTACCAGCCCCAGATGATAGGTGAGGGTGATTTTGGAGCAATTGGTGGAATGAAGATTGGCAGGGGAAACCGAAGAACTCGGAGAAAACCTGCTCAGCGCCACCTTGTCCACCATAAATCCCACTTGACCAGGCCCAGGATCGAACCCGGGCAGCTGCGGTGGGAAGCCAGCGACTAACCGCTTGAACTATGGCGCGGCCATTATAGTATTTAATTTAGTGTGAATATTGCTGCCGGGCATTTATCACTAATTTCTTATTCGAAGATTCCCGATTTAAAATCTCATATGGAGACCATTTTTTGTTTTTTAGGTTTGTCTTGATTATTCGCAGCTTTTCCTTCACGTAAATGTTTTATAGTTGCTTCAATACAGACCATAGAAACTTGCTTTCTAATTTATAGATCATCTTTCTTCCTTTCTTTCAATGTGATAAATCCTAATGAAAATCATTTACAATATGCAAAATTATGAAACGCGCTGAAGTAGTTTAGGAGTCGTCACATCTTACCTAAGATCATAAATCAATGTTAGAAATAATTTGATGTAATGACAAACAGTATGGTAATTACTAAACGCGCTAAAAGCAGTGAGGGTTGAATTTTACGTGATCTGTGTTGATAAATCACGTGACGTTATAAAGGATCATGGGAAGAGTAAGGCATCAATCAAAATAAAATCTAAGACAAGATCTACGCAAATTGTGGAACGCCCGTAAAGTAGTATGGAGACCTTAGACACGTTTGTTTTGTAACTCAGTGTAATTATGAATCCCACTGTAAAGAACAAAAATTCCTGAGAGCTTTAATGTAAGGAGATAGATAGCGTATGTTATGAAACGCGCTGAACACGAAATAGGTCTATTTGATATTTATTGTCGCTAGTGAGGGCGGAGAGACAGGTAGTTACAATCTGATGTCGATATGCATGACCTGTAATGACAATATTCAAGTCACCCTGGAATCGATTCTCGAACGGCAGTGACGTCACTTCCAGTTGTCAGCTGTTCGCCCCAGTTGGAGGGAATTGGCCGTGTTTGTTGTGTTTCTCTGTTTTTTTGTTTATTTTATGACAGTGACGTACGTGTTTTGTTTTATGATCAGTAATTATAGTGAGTTATCAATTCGTTATAATTAAATGTGGTCGAGAGCTTTTGGGAGATTTGTAAGGTAACTTTTTTGTTCATTATAATAACCCATTTCATACGTAAGTACAGGACGAAATAAAATTTCACTTGTATGATTTGTTATTACTCTTAAAACAGTTTGTTAACCGGTTTTATGATCATAATAATGTAGTATACAAAATATTCTGAAGTCTTGTATTGTTTCATAACCTACACAATTTGCTGAAATATTTCGTTGCTTTTCAAAATAATTATCTTCTCATCGGCTCACCATGGCTTAATAACTTTTCGTATGACATTTAATTATATCATATAAACCTTCGGTAAAATTACTGATAAATTCCAAATTTTTAGTAATTTTTCCAAGCGGGTTACCTTAATGGTAACGCTTTAGACACTTATTCGGCGGGTGCTCGGTTCGAATCCTGGGGGAGACGTAGGCTGTCCTGTGTTTATTAGTGATTTTCCCCGGTCCCTCCAGGAAACTGCCGGGTTAGTACTTTGATTAGGCCACGACCGCTTCCTTCCACATCCTTTTGAATTCACAACTGATCATTCATATCCTTTGACGCTATATTCTATATAAATACAGCGCTCATAATGACCCAACGGAAGAAGATCCGTAATTTTGTAAACAAAGTGTAACAGCCAATAGCAAGCACAGTTTTCACTTTATCCAATTTATAATAATCCATTATTAAACAACTTCGACCGTTGCAGTGCTCTTGTTTTTTAATTGTAGCTACTGGGTTCGAGTCCTTGTCCGGAGGCCGGCTATGCTAACCCATCATTTTTTTGTTTTCTTCAAGACCTCGAAACAATCACCAGCATGGTACACTAAAACAGCNTACCCCTCAGGAATGCAGTGCGTACCCATTACAAAGAGCTGTTCAGAAAAATAATCTCTGTTTATTTTGGAAATCATAGGAATAGCATAAATACACTCTCTCAGTAATATTCAGATTTACTGAATGTTAAACTGAACATTCATTATAGGTATGGGCCCTATGGGCCTTCATGGCCTATTACAGGGATAGCTTTAATTTACTTACTTTACTTACCAAAATGGGGCGCTAATTTCCTTCTTGTTAAAACTAGGAGACAGCATAATATTTTCTTAATTACCGAATGGTGGTATGCATGTGGGAAGATTTCAAATAAACCAACGATTTGTACACAAACCCCAACTACTTAGGTCAACTTTAGCAATGCCACTTCTATGGGAATTGTGCTTATAACTTGAGAAATGAATTAATCCACAAAATCAATTCGTCAGGCAAGTCAGTATATTACAGACAGAAAATGCAGAAGAAAGCGACCATGAGCCAAGTGTATAGACTCTATGATCGCTTTCTTCTGCATTTTCTGTCTGTAATATACTGACTTGCCTGACGAAATGATTTTGTGGATTAATTCATTTCTCAAGTTATAAGCACAATTCCCATAGAAGTGGCATTGCTAAAGTTGACCTAAGTAGTTGGGGTTTGTGTACAAATCGTTGGTTTATTTGAAATCTTCCCACATGCATACCACCATTCGGTAATTAAGAAAATATTATGCTGTCTCCTAGTTTTAACAAGAAGGAAATTAGCGCCCCATTTTGGTAAGTAAAGTAAGTAAATTAAAGCTATCCCTGTAATAGGCCATGAAGGCCCATAGGGCCCATACCTATAATGAATGTTCAGTTTAACATTCAGTAAATCTGAATATTACTGAGAGAGTGTATTTATGCTATTCCTATGATTTCCAAAATAAACAGAGATTATTTTTCTGAACAGCTCTTTGTAATGGGTACGCACTGCATTCCTGAGGGGTAGAAACCAAATTTCTACAAATTATTTTGTTGAACTTCATGTCTAATGCCGAGAAAAATGGTAAAGCGACGTTTAATTTGTGTGTTCTGGGTGTGCCGGCTCGAATCTTAGCTAGAACACCTGCCTACTAGCTGAAGTTAATCTGGTTTTCCTTGCTTCCTCTAGGCAAATGCTGTTATTGTGCCTCAAGTTAGACCACGACCACTTCCTTCTGCTTGTTCTCAATTTCATTAGTTGTTAATCGTTCTGTCTTTGGGCGCCGTATAGCGCCAGCCTGGGACACTCGCAGCCTCATTAAGTAAACTGTAAGCAAGCAAATAAATTTATCTCAGATCACCATATTTATAATTACTTAATTCCATTAAACTAAATTTTACATTATTTCCACTTAATAATTTTTTAAGAAGACGCTGCTTCTCTAAAACACAGAGTCGTTTTTAAGCCTTAGTTTTAACGGTTGGCAGAGTGTTACGTGGGTGTGAAATGCTCCAGTAGTGGTATGCTGACGAATGAGATTGGAATGTTTGGAGGTAAGGATTGTGAAGGAGATGATTGTGGCATATCTGAAGATAGTCGCCGGGCATTTGAGACCAAGACGTAGGTGGATGGACTATATTAAAAAGGATCTTGGAGAAATAGGATGGAATGGTATGGATTGGATTGATCTGGCTCAGGATAGGGACCAGTGGAGTCCTGTTGTGAACACGGTAATTAAACCTTCGGGTTCCATAAAATGCTGGAAGTTCTTCAGTGGCTGCAAAATTGGAAACTTCTCAAGAAGGGCTCAGCTCTATGAGTGAGTGAGAGCCAGAAACTTGGCTGAAGAGACGGAGCACATCCCACAAATTTCTGGTTATAGTCATTAAACCACCCAAGGATCATAAAGAGTGTCTGTCGAATACTAGACGCTACATTGTCACTCTACCAGTAACGTACACAACATCCGGTTTGGCTCTTCTATTGTCGCCCAACAATAGCTGAACTCTTGTGAATACATTACTTGTAGAAGAGTTTTCTCTTCTGGAACATAACACCGTATGGTCCGTTGAAAGTCAACCTACGTTTCTGAGAAACATATCGCCTCTTAGAAGAGCTTTGCTTTGTACCTCTTTCACGCAGATTTTTTGCTTGGTTCGACCCTGAAGATGGAAACATGTTCCTCAGAAACATCTGTAACTTTCAAGGGGCTACACGGCGTTATATTCCAGGAGGTAGAGCTTAGAGACACTGCTATGAGAGCTCTGAAGTCCTCTCTACTCGTAGGTCTCTTATTGCTTTGAAAATTGTATATTGCTTTGTCTGCTTATTCTTGCAACTTAGTTTCTGTGACTAGGGCCGGTATTCAGGCCGCGCCATAGCTCAAGCGGTTAGTCTCTGGCTTCCCACCGCGGCGGCCCGAGTTCATCCCGGGTCTGGTCAAGTGAGATTTGTGGTGGATAAAGTGGCACTGGGGAAAGTTTTCTCCGAGTACTTCGGTTTCCCCTGCCAATCTTCATTCCACCAATTTCTCCACAATCACCCTCACTTATCATCTGGGGCTGGTACAATAGGCCAGAAGTGGCCGCAGTGCAAGGGACTTAGTCCCACCCAACTAGCAACAAAGGAAAATGCTCGTATTTGTATGTTGATTGAGTCGAATTGGAGACCTTAGAAGTCCATATGCATAGCATAGAAAAAGCATAGACTTGGACTAAATATTTGTTCGACCTCAGTGACCATCAAAACCCACACCACGTCTTAATGTGAACCATCCAGAACTTTCAGTGTTATGGCCCCCGCTGCAAGTTACCGCCCCACCTTACTCTCTCTGACAAGGCAGAGCAATGTTCCATATCTCGTCTCCTTTCCTAGGAAAGTGGCCTCGTATAGAATAACAGTCTTCATTCTTCTGAAGCTATATGATATACAAGGCGGTGAGGCAAACGTGAAATGTAATTTCTCGAGTTGGGGTTCTGAAAGATATTTAATGTCCCCGTTCGGATCCATTTCTCGGAATCTGATCCTTTTTCTGTCCCATGAACCAATATCATACATCGTACCATTAAGCCCACAATGGACATAACACTGGGGGAAGTCCCGATCTCAAACTGTAGCAGCATAAAGCGGCAGATACATTAGGTCACTGGCTCATTGGTTGACTCAGTTAACTGAAATTCCTCGCCGATACTTATTCACATGCTTAACCGTTTGAACTATTAACTTATTTACGAATAATTTAACGAAGATGTCAGTACCTCAGATTATATAGCGTTAAATTATGGAATGATTAGGCACGCGGTAGCGTAATTTGTTGAGGCACTATGCTGCAAGCCGGTTCGATACCCGATGAGGTCATTGGATATTTTTTAATTTCCCTAATCCATCCAGCCGCGCTATGGCCCTGAGGTCGACTCAGCCTCTAACAGAAATGAGTACCAGAAATATTCCCTGGGGGTAAGAGCGGCCGGCGTATAAGGCTGACAACCTTGTCGCCATCTCTGAGCCGATTGTCTAGAAAATGCGGGAGCCTCGACGTCTCAAACTCCTATGGATCTTCACGGCCTGTTACAGGGATAGCTTTACCTTTTTTTAATTATTAATTAATTGAAAAATTATGATAGGGAACGGTTGTGACCTAATTTGGTATGTCACCCTGAAATTGTCCTGAGGAACTGAGGAAATCCACAAATAACATCAGAATAGTGCATATCTCCGTCGATATTCGAACCAGGCATCTTCCGAACACATGACAGCACCGTTGCCGTTTGAGCTAACCTTTTCCATTTTGAAGCATGAAGTTCTTCTGAACAATACTTAAAATTCAGTTCCTAACTCTCAGATAGCATATAACGTCTGTAACAAAGAGCTGTTTAGGGATGTAATCACTGGTTACTCTGAGAGGAAACCCGTGTCGATCCCTGGGCAAATGCAGTGTTGTTGAATGTTAAAGCAGGTGGCACATATACAGAGCATCCTGACACATTCAATCTGCTAAGGTTATATTGTGCCTTTCATATGTGCATGGTCCAACTTAATTGGGTATACATACATTCTCTAGCTCATACTGCATGTGGGCTCTGTTTAGTGTCTCATTTTTGCGAAACATTCTCAGTGATTAAATTAAATTCCTTCCTTCCCCTCGGCGCTACAGCTCAAGGCGAGCTTTGCCCTCCTGAACAATCTGCCTCCATTCTTCTCTGTTCTTCATCTTCCCTTCCCACCTTTTCACTTTCTTGCTTCATCACTGATG